TTTATAACAGTCATAATAATAATAACAATAATGGCTCTCACCATGTATCAGAACCCTATGTAAAGACATTCTGCTTCATTTAGATTTCATTGTAGGGCAGCAATCCAAATGACCCAGATCTTTCTAGATGGGACAATTCTGTCATTTTGTTCAGTGAGAGGCAAATCTGTCCAGCAAACAGATGAGACTGTCTCTTTGTGTGTGACTGAAAGTACCCTCAGAACCCTACATTAGAATTAAGCTTCTTCCTCTATAACTAGCTATTGTTTACCACCACTTTTATTTAGGCTCCTCTGGTAAGACATGAGACAAGTCTTGATGCCCCAAACTCCATGATCTGACCTGGAACATTAGGGCACTGGTGGTTACCATTATTTGTTCATGGGATTATTTTGTAGACCAAAGAATCTGATGGAAATGAAAGCATCTTGTAAATATTCAACTGTTATGAAAATATAACTGAGATAGTTATCGAGTCATTTGTGTGTATTGTTATCATGAAGGATCCTGTGAATTTGAAATTTATAAGGGGAGTATTCCAAAGAAATTTCTCTATGCCTTTTCCATTCAATCTTAAACATTTCAGAGGGTCAGTGTATTTGAGGAACTGCAAGACACTACTGATAAATAATAAAGTTTAATACAATTATGATGAGATTAACTTTTTGTAGAAATCATCTTAAAATAGAATATATTTAGGTTAATTTTCTTTTGGTGCCATTCATGGGGCTTAAACTCAGGGCCTAGGTTCTGTCCCTAAGCATTTTTGCTCAAGGCTAGCACTCTACCACTTGAGTCACAGCTCCATTTCTGTTTTTATCTTTTGGTAGTTAATTGGAGATGATAGTCTCCTGGCCTTTCCTACTTGGGCTAGTTTTGAACTGCAGTCCTTTGATTTCAACATTCTGATTAGCTAGGATCATGGGCATAAGCCATTGGTGCTTGACAGGTTAATATTTTTCAATAGGATTAAAGATCAAGGATCTAAGGAACATTTGTCTGCGATAAAGTCATGGTAGTAATACTAACAGAAGTAATGGTAGACATCATTTACTTTGAGCTTAATCATTGTTAGACATTATAATGTACAGTTTTTCTATATCGTATCTCTTTCCTCACCACAAATACTAATGGTTACCACAGTCACATTGAAACAAGGATAAAGTGAGGTTTTGAGAGGTTAAACAACTTGCCTAAAATCCTGCTCCTAATAACAATTGTGATTTCAAACCCAGGCAATCCATGTCTCAAAGATGGATGGGCTAGAGAGGAGGAAGAACTCAGGAATAGATGTAAGAGTGTGGGATGGGGAGAGTGTAGAGGTGTCCTACAAAAGACTGCCTGGAGAGATGAGATTGACCAGGGGAACCTTAAGCCTGGATGTGGACTTGGTGGAACTAGAGCATCTATAGGCATCTATCAGTTGTCACGGAGCAGAACAACTCCTAGGGCCTGCCTAGACCTGTCAATCACCCCCTCAGCCAAGACATCAGCCAATCACCACCTCAGTCCAGACAGCTGCCAATCACCACCTCAGCCCAGACAGCAGCCAATCACCCACCACCTCAGCCCAGACAGCAGCCAATCACCACCTCAGCCCAGACAGCAGCCAATCACCCACCACCTCAGCCCAGACATCAGCCAATCACTACCTCAGCCAAGACACCAGCCAATCACCCCCTCAGCCAAGAAATCAGCCAATTATCACTTCAGCAATCCACCTCTTGCAATGGTGATGTGACTTCTGACACTGTGTTCTCCAAACGAAATATAGCAGTTTGGTATCCCATGTAAATGTGTGTCCACTGAGTAAGCATGCTGATCCCTGGAACTTAGGACCTGAGCATACTTGAACAAAGTATATATGTAAAGATATATGTAAAGGCCAAAATGATAGAATGGGACAACTGCTTGTGCTCCCTCACATTTGAACATCCTGAAGGAAGCATTGTGTTGAATTGAAGCCCCTTTCGGCAACTACTTAAACATATTAAACTAAAACAAAGCACTAATAGAATGTATTTCAAATGTTCTCACCAAAAAATTAAGTATTTGAGAGGATGCATGTTAATTGGCTTGCTTTAATTATTCCACATTGAATTCCCAAGTTACAACATGGCTTTTCACCATCCCCAAACATATACACATAAATTTTGCTAATTTAGAGGTATAAAATAAAAATTGAAAGAGGAAGTGTGGTTTGACTGTGATGTCAGACACACCCAGTGCCAAACAAGAAGTTAGAATTCAAGGTCATTCCTGTCATATTCTTTCACCCCCTGACTGAGTTTCAGAGACAGACTGGAGTCTCTCAGGATCCTAGTGTCCTCTTCTGTAAAGTAAGAATAAGTACATGTAGTAAACACAGAAAACTGAGTATTCATCGTCTGTCTGATACACAGCAGCCCACACACAGCTGTACAAATCATTAGTGGAGGACATGGTTAAAGTAATCTGAATAATTATTCTCAAAGTGTTCTGTCAGAAAGTAACAAAAAATAGATAAAAGCACAAGAATTGCTCTGCAATAGGTCCCACCCCATTTCCATTTTTCATTGTTTTTCTTTTGAGATACTCATCTGAAGCTTCTCGTCTCTCCCCTCCTCCCCTCCCCCCATCACTTACTTTGCAAAATCTCTAGCCATTTGGGCTCAATCTATTAAACATCTTAAATACAATTAGATTCAAGTGCTTATCTCTCTTCTTAATAATTTAATTCTTTCCAACATCCAGTCTCTCTCCTGCTAGGAGGGGTAGTGGGTCTGGAGGAACTCTGTAGGCTTTGACCTTCGTGGACCTTGATGGTTGTTTGTGGGGCTGGGACGGGTGGGGGATGTGAATGCTCTATGAATGGAGTTGGATTCTGAGTAGGATACTCCAGGTCTCTGGTACCCTGTGACCTTGGGTATCACACTGCATGGCCCTACAGCCAATCATAGTGTCAGAAACACTATGTGCATTTGCTGACAATGTCATAGATACTCACAAAGTGTGTTAATCTTCACAGTTTCAAATTTTGCAACACCAAAAACAGCTAACTGGAGATCAGAGAGGTCAAGCCATTATACAAAGCCTCGCCCGGCACACACTGGATTCCTGCACCACTTTTTAGCTGAGCTCAGAGCATTTTCTCTTTCCATTTCACCGTCTCTCCACCTGGTCAATGTCTCTGGGCCTCAGTTTCTCTCTTTTGGCAGATGTAACATACAGCCTACCTACTTCCTTAAGGTGCTAAAGTCATTAAGGAAGAAAACATAGTCAAATGCTTTGTAGTATGAACAAGCCTAGGCAAAGGTAGTATGCTTTTATTCTCTAGTGGGATTATTCAAATAAAATATGAGTACCTTGATGTAGATTAATGAAAGCCATGCTGACTGTGGGCCTGCTTTATGAATAAAGTCAAACTGATTTGGGTGAGGAAATGGAAATAATGGAGAATGAAAGTAATATTTACTTGATGTATATACCAAGTACATACTATAGCAAATACAAACACAGTATTAAGTCTAATTATTTGTATAGGCCTTAGGTGACACTATTGTCCTATTCTAAGGAGGCAGGAATTAAGGATAGGAGAGAAGAGGCGGTTCTGTCCAAGTGGCAGAATTGGGATCCTGACCCTCTCAGGCAAGGATCAACTCCCATAGTCTTTCCAAGAGTGCACCTGACTTAGGACCAAGTGAGCTAGACATTAGAGTCCCCTGATGTTGAGGCCAGAGCTGTCCAGATGGCACAGAAAGCTTTAGCCTTTGTTTTCAGAGTGGCCTTGTTCCTGGAGTCATCTGAGAGGACTCCCTGGGGGGAAGAATCAGAAGCTCTGCCATTCATGCAGATGTCTGGGGCCATTAGATCACCCCGAGAGTGGATTCAAGGGTGAATTCTGTGGAACTGCCAACAGGGTTCACCGTCCATACCAGCCAGTCCCAGGCAAAAGGCAATTTCGTTTTGAATTTTGTTAGTGAATCCCCTAGGGTTTGAAAAACCTGGATGGTGCTCCTTCAGCCACTCAACCTCTGCATGGGTGAACCATGGCAAGGGACACCTCATCTTCAAGGGTAGGTGCAAGGATTAAGTGAGTTAATGCACCAGGCTGGCTGGCAAGAGCCAACATTAAATCAATGCAACTTGCCCTTCCTGCTTCTCTAGGGCATATTTTATCTGAGGCTCGTCAGAGGATTTCTGAAGCTTTGCCATTTCTCTGGCAGGCCTTGGCATTCTTTATCCCGTGGTTTGTCTCCTGAGAATCTGAAGAGTCACTACCATTGGAGGCACTGGGCCACCGTGCAGACAAAGATTGAAAAATCAAAGGGCATTTGTAAAAAATAAAATGAAATCAAGTGGACATCAGCAATATGCAATCCCATCAGCATTGTTCGAAATTAAATGGTCTGGGCTTTGATGGCACTTTTCTCTTTTCTCTCTCACTGCAGCTTATTTGTTTGTTCTAACCTAGAGGAAAAACCTGGAAGAGAGAGCTCCTGGCACAGTTCAAGGGTAAGTGTTTGATCCTGGCTTTCATCTCGCTCTTGAGCTCCTCAACCACAGGAGCTGGGGCAGAATGCCTGCATGGCTCCAAAGCCTACATCTTCTTTGTTAAACTCGAGAGAAAATCGTACTGATTTGGAAACTAGCAAAGCTAAACTTCCACCGAGGCTCTAGAAGTTAACTTCTTTGAATGACCCATTTTGAATTGAGGCTGCCTTGCGAGGAGCCTGTCCTAGTGCTCAGAGTCGGTCTCTTGACTTTAGTAGGGGGTCCAAGATTAGGTTGAACACATTTAACCTGCTCATTCTTTCTGGCTAGCCATCTTGATTCCTTTTCCCAGTAGGAAAGGAATGAAGGAATCCTTAAAAAACGGGGCTAAGGCAACCAGCTTTTTTTTCCTTCAGTCGATGAGCTACAAGGCCCCTCATTTCTTTATAGGAAGGTTGTTTCCGCTTGATGTGGAGCTCTTTCCTAATGATCACTTATAACCACGAGATGCTGCACAGTTAGTTTACCTGGCCAGCTGGAGACGTGTCAGGAGCTCAGGGTGGAAAAGTCCTGGGAGAGGGCCTGGTGGCGACATCAGGGAGAAGTCAAGATGCCGGAGGCCTGGAAGGCAAGGTGAGGGGGACTGAACTGGTCCAGAGTCTGGCATGCCCTTCTGCAGAGGCCGGCGCAGATGGCCTTTTAGTTCTGGTTTCCTGTGAGCTGTGGCCACAGACCTGGGGAGGAACGGCTGTGGCAGGCTGAACTTCCTCTTCTTGAGATGTAGTGTGGCTAAAGTAAGGTGTTGGAGACTTTGTCTTCAACCCAAAGGGGATTCTTAATGTCACACAAGGTCCTTACCCTTACTTATCCTTGGCAACTCCCCAGAATACCTTAAAACAGACCACCAAGCAAGTGTGAAAGGTAGGCTTTCTTCATCTTACTTCTCCTGTGCATACTGGACATTTCGTTATCTTGTGACTGGATGTTGTAATGACATCCCAAGCCATCCAGGAAACATGGAGAAACACCCTCAGGGATGGCAGTGAGAAATGGCCACTACTTCTTCTTGCTATGTTCGTTATTAGCTATGGGATGCTGGGCAAAAGGCTATTTATTTCTCAACTCATTCCCATATCTACGATGGCAGAATTTTAGAATTTTAGAATTAGTATAAGAAATGAACAAAACAACATCGATAAATTTGTGGACTCCCTACAAGGTACTCAATATAATTTAATTTCCTTCTGACTTAAGTTTGATCCACACAGGGGTCTTGTTAAGAACCTATTGTTCTTCATCTTGATACTTCACTTTTTTTTTATTGTGAAAATACTGTACAGAGGAGTTACAATTACATGGGCAAGATAATGAGTACATTTCTTATCAAGCATTGTAGTCACCTCTCTGTTTCCACTTCCCATCCCTTCCCATCCTCCCCCGCCCTCCCACCCAATCCTCCTCCCCCCTTCTCCCCCCCCCCGCAACCAAAGTTGTAAAGTTCATTTTCAACAAAGTTGTAAAGTTCATTTTCAACATAACGACTTGTACATCTCGTTGTTGCAATGGGTCCACCAGTATCCCTATTTAAACGCTTTGTTTTTTCCCCCTGCCCCTCCACAAATTATACAAACATCAAATACAGTGAAAGCAGGGGTTATACCGTGGGGAAGGGACAGACAACGCAACAAAGAAATCATCTTATAAATATGTTAGAAACAATCACATGAAAGAAAAAACATTTGAATACATATCTTAGGGTTCATTTCCCTAACATCAACTTATCTGACCTTTTCTGCTTGTCTCAGTCATATACTAGTTACTACAAATAGGGAAACCATGGGACCTATGTTTCTTTGGGCCTGGCTTACTTCACTTAATATAATTTTTTCCAAGTCTTTCCATTTCCTAACAAATGGGGCAACGTCACTTCTATATATGTGGATGTTACTGGTGTTGAATTCCCCAACAGTAGCCCATCTTTATTTGAAGTAAATTCAAAGAAAATTTATATGTTCTTGGGCAAATACTAAAGTTTTGACTTACAAGGGAAACATGGAATTAAGTGCTCACGGCCTGGGGCCAGGACCTTGCTAAGCAACTTGCAAGCCTTATCTTACTTAATCTTCTAATAACCATGTAAGGAAGATACTTGAAATGATATTTGTGTAACAGTGAAAGATACTGTCCAAGGAGATGGAAGCAATTTATTCATTTTGTCTATTAGTGTTTGTTGTATTTGGGACTTAAAGCAACCGAAAACATCCAGTTTTTTTCAGCTCACTCTTTTTTTTTTTTTTTTTGTCGGTCGTGGGGCTTGAACTCTGGGCCTGGGCGCTGTCCTTCAGCTCTTCTGCTCAAGGCGAGCGCTCTACCACTTGATACAGCGCCACTTCCGGTTTTCTGGTGGTTTATTGGAAATAGGAGTCTCACGGTCTCTCCTGCCCGGGCTGGCTTTGAACCGCGCTCCTCAGATCTCAGCCTCCTGAGTAGCTAGGATTACAGGCGTGAGCCACCAGCGCCCGGCTTCAGCTCACTCTTATGTGGGTCACTGGGTCAGTTATTTGGGTCTAGATGCTTACTATTCAAAAAAATTATTATCTCTAAGTACAAAGGAGTTGCCACTTAACAAAGCAGCTCTTGAACACAATGTATCTTGATCAATGAATGCCAACATTCTCACCCATCCCTCCCTCCCCACCCTTTCCTTCACGCTTCTTCATTTTGTAGGCTATACATTGGATTCCTGCTTACATTTTCCCTTTCTCCTTCCCTTCATTTGGCTCTTCCTTTCTCTTTGACCTCCCACTCCACCATTTTAGGGTACAAAGCACCACATGGGGTATAGAAACAGAACAGACGTTTCTTGTTTCAGGCTCTGGAGCAGCCAGAGGGCCAAGGGCCAGGTGTCAGGCAAGGTTGGTTTCCTTTGGATGCTGTGGTGAGAAGCTGAACTTCAGCCTCTTGTAAGCTTGCAGTTGCTGTCTTTGTTTCTACACAGCATTCTCTCTGTGTGTACGTGTCCCCTTCATGAAAGGACACCAGACCCATTGGGTTAGGGTCTACTCTATGGCCTCTCTGCCTCAGCAGGTTTCACTTTCACCCATGTATACAGCATTTTGATCCTGTTTACCCTCATTAGGACCCATACCCCAGAGAGCCATGTTTTACATCTTGTCATTATTTTATTTTATTTCATGTTTGTTGGTTGTGGGGCTTGAACTCAGGGCCTGGGTGCTGTCCCTGAGCTCTTTGGCTAAAGGCTAGTTCTCTACCACTGTGTGCCACAGTGCCACTTCCAGTTTTTGAGTGGTTAAATATAGATTAAAGTCTTACAGACTTTCCTGTCCGGGGTGGCTTCAAACTGAGATCCTCAGATCTCAGCCTCCTGAGTAGTTAGGATTATATTAGCCACTGGTGTCAGGCTGTCATTTATTTTTTAAATTATATGTTAATACATTTTAAAAAGGGGTTCTGTCATGGTATTTTATACTTTAGTGAGATTGACTCTCTTCAATTACTTTCTGTTTCATTCTTTCCCTACCTCTTATTACTGGGCAATTTTTAGTGGGTTTTGCTATGACATCTTTGTATACATTCACAGTGTATTGTTCACATAAAATTTTCATTTTCTCTTCCCTTTGCCCCTAGTCATCTAAAACAGAAACAGTTCCACAGTTGCCAACATGTAATGGGATAAATAGGAATTTGCTAGACCAACAGAGAAGAATAGAGAGGGAAAGAGAAAAGGTAGTAATAGGATGAAAGAAAGGAAAAAATAAAGAAGGAAGCAGGATAGAATGGAGGAGGGAAGATGCTTATGCAGAAAGGCATCACAAGAGAGAACGTTCAAGGCCCAGGAGATTCTATGTCTGAATGCAAAAGGAGTAGACAGGACTTGCCACAGAAACGGCTAGAGTCAGACTACACACTCCCAGAGCCAAGGCCAGACACCCACACGTTCCGGCCTATGTTTTCTCTTCTTGCAAGGCTGCCCTACATTGCACTGGTGGATGGAATCCCACGTTCATCTTCTGTTTAGCTGCTTCGTGAGTTCTTGCCTCTTACCCCCTACTTCCCATTCCTGGCCTTCACGATCTGTGGGTCCGTACTCTTGAGTCACAGTATGGCTTAAGAGGACAATCCAGGAGTGTCTGGACTTTGACAAACTGGTGGCGATTCTCTAGTGCTATTGCTCAGAGGATGTGTGGCTTTGGGCGAGGAACTGAATCATTCCCATCCTTGGAAGCGTGGCTGCGATGATCACATGAGTTACCTCCCACAAGTGTCTAGCTCTGTGCTTGGCACCTCACCTCCTTTGGTTTTCCCCGTCTCTCTCCAGTACCGCGAAAACATGCTATGGGGTTAGCAGCCATATGAACCAATGGATTAATGCACCGCATCTGTGGGTAGAGGACCTGCAATGCATACAGAGCAGCACGTGGGTCTGAAGGGGATATTTTGGGTCCACTCTCCATTTATTGAGTTTTTTTTCTCTTCTTCCTGGATATTTCTTTCAAAAGTATGAAGCTCCTGAGCAGGTCATAACTCAAAAAATTACAGAGTAAGAAAACAAGTAAGTAAACAAACCCCAAATAAAATGCAAAGGAAAAACCAAGCATGATGTTGAGGACCAAATTGTACACACAGAGAGAGTCAGGTTTCCAGGAATGACCAGCAAGAAAATGGCAGGGAGGATGAAGTATCAGATGGAGTAGCTCCACTCATGAAAGGAATTCAGACAGGTTTATCAAACCAATTCTCTCATTCTTAGTCTCTAAAAATGGGGTGTGATACTAAGAGCTTCCTAGCATTGTTAATGCATGAAATTAAAAAAAAGTTACCTTGCAAATACAGGAGAGAGACATATGTTAGCAAGCTGGAACTCATTTCAACAGGAGGTCTTTACAGTTTTTCAACTTTATGGCACATGAGGAGGGGACTGATATTTTCATTTGTACTTTAAAAATACTTTTTATGTTTAACCTTTTAATTTTGAAATGTTATAGACTCATAAGAATTTTTTTTAAAAAATGGTTTCCACTAGTACCTCTTCTCCCAAATCCTACCCCTAGACGCTGAATTCATTTTAACAACCATTCTGAGCACAAGCAAATTTGATTCTTCATTCACTCCCTCTTCTTAAAGTAAGGAGTGAGGGAATGTGTTGGGGAGGAGCGAGGGAGAAAATGGCAGTACCTCAGCTAACCTTTCGCTTTCCTGCTGATTTTGCTCTTGGTTTCCTTTGCAATTTTTTTTTGTCTTTCCCAACAAGACAAATTTAGGTGTTAAAAGAGAAGGCTGGTTCTGGGTAAACAGCCTGACACCCTGCGGCATTCTGTTTTCCTGCTTTCAGCGGGTAGTGACTGCTATGCTCAGCCTCATACCTGACAACTGGTCTCAGGCCAATGTCAAGAGCTGAAGCTGAGCCCTGAAACCTAAACATCCACATATCCCCAAACACAAAAGAGACAGTTTCACCACCATCAGTGACGGATGCGTTTTATGGTTCATAAATCCCCACCTGACAGTACTGTCTGTCTTCTGCAAGAGATCAACAACTGTATATTTTTAAGAATTATTATTATTTTTTATA